ACACACAGACAACCTCGTGACAATATGCGTTTTGTAACGCTGTTACACAGCACAAAACGCATAATAAGTGCATTTTGTGAGGCCAAGTTGGGCTGAGTTTTAGTAATTGCCATTTCTCATAGGATATTTCATTCCTCATAGGATATTTCGGGAACTGCGCGATATTGTGCGCCCGTGGTATGCTGCAACAGCTGGCTTGAATGGCTTGTGTGGAAGAGAAGACTAACCTCTAGATACATGACACACCCTTGCCATATATTTCCTTCCAACCCACATTTTACTTCATTTGTTGCGTCACTGCACTTTGCCAGCAGTAATGCTACTCTTTCCAACACTTTACTATAGCAGCACAATAGCGTTGGATTTCAAAATTTTACCGCACCGAGATCACTCCAAACTTTTTACAAAAATTACCGGTAATTTTAAGCAATATGTTAAAGTCAAAAATCAAAACTCTATTCACATTCACTCTTAACGAAAGGCGGAAGCACTCAGAAATGGTCCCGATGATAGCAAGTGCTAGCAGTCAATTACCCGTTGGCAGTATTGTCGAGAGTTCCTCTTTCGAGGGTTGCTTATAGGCAAGCTGATGGCGGGTCTGATTCTCTAGCGTGCGCTAGTATCAGTATATCACTGAAATGTGTCAAACATTTGTAGAAAAATTGCACATCTTATTTTTGACTAAAATTTTGGGCCCGAAAGTAATTCAGTAAAGAAGAAAGGTGCCTATACATTCTTGAAATGTCCTAGTCAGATACCTCACCATTCATATGAAGAATTATGGGAATAAAGGCCAGAGCAGAACTATCATGTACACATCTTTTTCTAGATCTTAGGTGCAACTCTTTACAGGCACTGGACCTAAGTTAATTCTGTGAATTTAGCTTTTCGGCAGCTACTACAGTTGCCGCGGCTAAATAGCATGAAATCATCAGAGCTACCAAATCCAGTCACTCGAAATTCATGCTGTTCCGTGAGTAATAATAGGGCAGAAGATAAGAGATCAGTCCAAGTATCGTGTGCAAGAAGACATATTTGTATGCATTCTGTGTTTCATCCCTTAGCTGTAAATGCGGCGTTCACGTAAAAACCCAGCAAACAAAAGACCATCACAAACTTGTATATTGCCTAAAGAAGGTAAACAAGTTATATGCTGTCTAAAAAGCTGATAGGCAGAAGTGTTCCCAGGCTGTTACTGAGGTACAACCGGGCAATGGTGCAGTGGTTTAGCACGTCGCGTTCGAATCTGAAGACAAGTGGCTGGAATCCGTCCTGATTCATACTCGTTTGCAAAAAAAAAGCTTCTTTCACAACAGGCATAATTCTGGGCCTAATTTATAATTATGCGATGTTCAATTGCTTAACACAACACAAACGCACTTACAATATATTTATGACTTCAATTTTTGAAAACAAATAACAGAATTTTGTAAACTTAACGCATGCGGAAAAAACTATTGCGATTTTTTTTTACTGATTGAGGAATTCCTTGAAGTGTAGTATTCGCTGGCAGGCACTAGCACCGCGACGTATACTTTCTATACGATGAACAGGTGATAGACTGGGCACAACGGCCGAAGCCAGCCGCTCGTACATGTCCAACTTCTCGCCCACCGCATCGCTGTTGTATTCCTTGCTGAAACTTAATTTTCTCAACATTTTTTTTAAAAAAAAACATATTTGTTAAATGTTTCTGCAATGTTTTTTACATATTTTTTGCAGCACTTTTTACGCGATTTGCATTACTGATAAAATTTAGAAAAAAAAAAAACATATTTTGGGGAAGCGCCTGTGCGTGTGTGTGTGTGTGTGTGTGTGTGTGTATGTGTTTTGTGCATAAGTCTGTGTGTCGGTGTATCTGTCCGCATTTTTCGACTCTTAGACTTATGAAGCTGAACTCTGTGGTAACGAGAGATGCATAGGAAGATTGGTACGCACCAAATTTAATTCACGATATTCTAAAGTTGTAGCAGTAAGTCCGTCTACTTTTGCCAGCGGAGTAGCCAGAAGTCGTTAGGGGGAAAGAGATTTAACATCGGAGACAGAAAAAGTGGGGCCTCCTTTTTCAGACAGCGTAACATACTCATGACCGAAAGTTTTGTTTTCACATTTATTACACTAGGACTAAAAATTTTTTTGTACTCGTTTCAGATTTGTTTAGCAACAAAAGAAAAATAAATGGTTTTGACTGCCGGTGCGAAGATGCGTTTTTTGCATAGTTCCCCGCAGGTTTTTGTAGCTAATGGCACCGGTTTTTTCGGCAAACGCTACTAGCTAAGATAGTTGAGACTAGGTACCAGGGCTGTCTGAAAACATCTCCTTAAAATCCCAGTCCTCCAGCATTTCTGGTTCCCGAGTTAGCAGGCTACCTGTAAAAAACTTTGGCGGGCCCGTATATGGGTACTACGCAGGTAATAGCGCCCATTTTGGAGAAGGGAGCCCGTACAAACATGTAGATTAAGTTCGCAAAGTTTCAGCTCTGTGGCTATTGCAGATCCCGAGATGAAAAATCGGTATAGACGAACACACAGGCACACACACAGGCACACACACACACACACACACACATACACACACACAGAGGCAATCTCTCGTCAGTATGCGTTTTCTGCATAAAAATGCATAATAAACAAGCAGATGAATTAGCAAACACATCTCTTCCCCTATCTGCTGTTTTGTAAAAATTCAAAATGAATGAAAACACAAACTAAAAATAGCACACTTTGCAGATATGATTTTTTGATACCGGAAAAACTGTAAATATTGATTTCCGATTTTTATTATGCATGAAAAAAGGACATACATGAATCTTCGGTAGTGTTTCTCGACAATCGCTGCTATGCACATCCGTTTCACTTGATAGTATGCCTGTTGCTGATGCGTCAGCGCCAAAATTTTTATTACTTCATCCAAATTATTCATATTCTGTAATGAAAAAAGTGACATTTCGTGAATGTCTAAATTGTCCAGTGATTTGTGATATATTCGCTATTTCACAGCAGTCTCTGCTGAAGCGAGCAGCTAAAACCTCTTCCACAATGCTCCGTTACGGAAGGCAAGATCACTCAGAAGTGTTTCGAAGGTCGCAAAATTCATTTTCCAATGACAAGAATGCCGATGGTACCTTCTTTCGAGAGTTGCTTAGAAATAAAGCTGGTAGTCCGCATTTATATGTTTTTCAGTGAATATTTGCGCTACTTAATTTCGTTGTTTGTTTCCACATTTTGCTGATTTTTGTTGAAGATAATAGAAATGTGCATTTTGTTCCATGGATTTAGAACACTTCTTGCAATACAGCGGTTTGAAAAATGTGTGAATGCCTTTGTTTCACTTGTGAGTTTAATAAAAGCTAAATAATGAGTTCAGGACTCATGTGCGCTTATCTTTGGTTGAAGTTTGACTTTGGATTTCAGATTTTGAAACGACTTCAAACTGTTTCTTCATCAATTCTTTGAATGCAGACCCAGGAAGAAGGAGGTGTCGTTTTTTTAAAAGACCGCTTGAAATAAGAAATATAATCAAATAATACAGTAGGAGATAAGGGATCGGACTAGTATTATACGCAAGAAAACATTTTAGGATACAGTCTGTGTTCCATCCCTTTACTGCGCAAATGTTAGCATTCTAAAAAATATTAAGTTTAATCAAATGTGTGGGCCTCAAGTTCAGGAGGTGGAGAAAAAAAAAGAATGCAGAAAAGTGATCTCATCGAAAGCTGGCCATCTCACTTTTTCGAATGAAATTGCGAATGGCATATTTGCTACCTTGAACAATTGGAAAATGAGCACTCGTCCGATGTCGTCGTCGAACTGCGTCATCCGCAACTGGAACTGCTTGGCGCATTTCAGCATTTGCGGGATTAAATCCGGATTCACGATTTCTGGTGACTCGAACACTCCGAATATCATGTAGGAGAGCGTCTAAATTATCACCTCCTCAATATCCATGTGCTTGTCTTATCAAAATTTAAAAGTTCCTCCGTAT